TGGAGAAAAAAAACAAGAAAGAAAAAGACAATAGAAAAGAAAGGAGAAGAGAAAGAAGTTACGTCGGAGGGATCCTAAAGGAAACGAAAGTTAAGAAAGAAAATATACGACGGTTGCATAAATTATTATTAATCTTTATGTATATATTTGCATAATTACTTGTTTACTTATTCAAGAAAAAAAAAAAAAAAATCAATTCCGTTATTATCTCAAGAAAATAAATAATTAATAAATATTCAAAAGTTATATAAGATACGAATAATCCTTACAAATATGTGCATATATATATATATATATATATATATATATATATATATATAATTAATAAATTTATTGAAAAAACGTATTTCATTTACTTTATCCTATAGAAAAAAAAAGAACAACGAGAACGTTCCTTTAGATAAATTTCTTTAAATATCTGCAATTCTTACGTCAATGCGTTGAGCCGAAAAAAAAAAATATATATATATATATATATATATATATGTATTATATATATAATTAATGACATTTATATATATATTATATATAATTAATGACAATTATATATATTAATGACAATTATCATTAATTATTCATAGATATTTAAGTATTCATTTCTTTTTCTTTTTTTTTTTTGTAAATATACAAAATATGTCGCATATAATTAAACGATAAACAATATTATATTTATCAATCTTTAAGAATATTAATATTTCGATGTGTTTGAATGTTCTTGCAAAGAAAAATATTAAAAATAGAAAACAAAACGAAAAAAAGAAACGAAACAAAAAAATAAAAAAAAATAGAAAAAAGAAGAGTAGAAGGAAAAAAAAGAGCGAACGAACGAAAAACAAAAAAAAAAAGAAACGAAGAAAAAAGAACGAAATAAACAAATAAATTGTTATTTTCGCGACGTTATGTTGTGTTATTCTTTATTTTTCTTCTCTTTCTGTTTTTTCTCTATCTCTTCTTTTATTCCCTTCTTTTTTATTTATTTTTATTTAACTTCATGAACAAAAGATGAAAGAGAAGAAAGGAAGGAAACGATTTGCAGTTAACGAGTCAGTTTGCTAGTCGTCTCGCGTGCTGCTCGCCGATATAAAAGCGCTTCCTAGTTCGTGAGTACTCGGAAATATTGTAGATATTTCTCCTCGATAATACCTTCGATTCGAATCGTTTGATTTTGTACATACCAATTCAATATATATATATATATATGTGTGTGTATATGTGTGTGTCTCCTTGAGAGATCCATACATATATATCAAACGATACCGCCATTTTTTCTATTGAAAAGAAAACATCGATCTTTCTGATTTCTCTCTCTATCTCTCTCTCTTTTCTTACAAAATTGAAAAAAAAATAAAAAAAAAAAAAGTAAAAAAATTATATATATATATATATATTAAATTAAATAAATCAACTTGGTAATGTAGTATATAATGTTTCACGTATATACGTATGTAAGCACTCATATATACATATATATATATATTATTTTATTAAATTCATTTAGATATTGATAAAAAAAAACTGTAAGCACTTTTAAAAGTCATTCGATAAATGTAAAAGCGTTTATATACGCCTACGTAGATTCAAGTTGCTTGTCCATGGAGAAAGTTTGCGTACTAGCCTATAACGTTACATACACATATGTATGCACACTCACAGATACACATACACACACATGTATATTACGTATCTCTCTATACGCATACATACATATATATACATATATATATATATATATATATATGTATATATATATATAATGTAGACGTTCCCAAAAGCTTTATCGGTATCATTTTCGAGAGACGTAATATATTTTTATGCAATTAAATTAATTGAATTAAATCGACACGTAATATCGTATTTTTAAGTGTTTTCTTTTTTGTTCCAATTTCTTCTTTTCTCTTTTTCCTTCTTTTTCTTTCTTTCTTTCTTTCTTTCTTTCTTTATTTATTTATTTATTTTCTTTTTTCTCATCTCTTTAGCGTTACATTTCATTCGTTAAAAAAGACGAATTAAGCGTTACGACGTGAACGCAATCCCATACGAGATTCAATTGGAAATCAATGTTGCGTGTGTAAACGTGACGTGGGTGATCAAAAAAAAAAAAGTAAGGGGAAAGAGAACAAGAAAATAAAACAAAGAAATACAAAAAAAAGAAAAAAAAGAAAGAAAAAAAAGGAAGAAAGAAAGAAATAAAAAAAAAAAAAAGACAGAAAGAAGAAAAAAGGAAATAAATGACAAAGAGAAAAAGAAAACACGAGGATACGATGTTATATTGTATGGTAATAAACGTCATCGATACTGTTACATTTATTACATATAGGTTTCCAAGGATCGATTACCTCATTGATTATCAACATCACTTTAACGCGTCGATCTACGTTAATATTAATGGAACGACGATTAACGGAAATATAAAGAAATATGAAAAGAAAAAAAAAAAAAAAAAAAAAAGAAGCAATATGAATATGAATATATAAATATGAATGTGAAAATGAAAATGTGTTAATTCGAACAATAGTTGGACTCACATTTTCGAAAACGTTCCTTCATATCACTGCTGTCCTGCTTTTTCTTTTTGTTATATTTTATTTTCTCTCTCTCTCTCTCTCTCTCTCTCTCTCTTTCTTTCTTTTTTTTTCTTTTTCTTTTTCTTCCTTATCGATCCATCGTAAATTTTCTTCGTAACATATACATATACATATACATATTTTTCTTTTCTTTTTTTTCTTTTCTTTCTTTTTTTTTTTTTTTTTTTTCTTTAATTCAATAAACTTCTTCGATCACTTCTTTACAATCGTTAATTACTTTTTTAAAGGATTTAATTCACGTCATTAATAATTTTATCGAAATAACGATCCGAAAAGAATTGAATTTTCTTCCTTCTTTCGTTCGTTATCTCTTTATTTATTTATTTATTTATTTATTGATTTATTTATTTATTTAGTTATTTATTTATTTTCTCTCTCTTTCTCTTTCTCTCTCTCTCTCTCTCTCTCTCTCTCTCTCTCTTCCTCTTTTATTAATTCGGTCGCTCTCAAATTGTACGATTAAATTTCGTTTTTCATTCGAGAGGCACCGATCCGAGGCGAAAGAAAACGTGGCCGGGATTGAGAACGTAAAAGAGAGACGAAACGTTTTGCACGGTGAGAGGCCGATACTCGACTGCTCGTCGAATGTACAGCGGATTCCACTTGCACCGGAATATTTTGCCCACCACTGTTGTTAATACACAGTGTGGTAGATAGATAGGTAGGTAGGTAGGTAGGTAGGTAGGTAGGTAGGTAAGTAAGTAGACAGTTAGAAATAGATAGTACATCTAATCTCATCATATAGTAATTCATCAGTTCAAATTTAACGTGGAATTCTATAATATCATTATCGATTATTGTAAACAATTTGTTTTAACGTGAAACAAAATCATTGAAATTCTTTCATAGAAAATTGTTTAAATAAATATATCATTTATTTATTCGTACATTATCAATTTATTTAAAGCAATGACGCAAATCTACGTTAATTTCATTGATTAATTTTCTTTTTGTAATTTAAACGAAAAAAACAAAAAAAAAAAAAAAAAAAGAAAAAGAAAAAGAAAAATGTTCCCTCGAAATAATTTAAATTCATTTACTTATCATATTCGTTAATTATCACGATACAATATTGACTCGTAAATCGTTCGTATTTATTAACTTGATTCATTAATAATATGAAAAGCTTGATATTACGTTTGTATTGATTTATTAATATTATATATCTATTTTGTTTACTATTTGTCTATTAAATCGATACACGACATGTAGATCTGTTGTAAACTATTTATCTTGATATGTATATACGTATCTATGTAAATGTTCTAATAAGAAATACTTGATCATGCGTTAAAATATTTTTCTATTCATTCAACTCCAATAATTGTCTATTCATTTACTATTTCTTAATTTAATTAAATAGAAGGGATATTCAATTGATTTATATACCAGCTTAAAACAATTCTTTCTTTCTCTTCTTTATTTATTTCTTTCTTTTCTTTTCTTTTTTTTTTTCTTTTTCTAATAAAGTTCATCGATCACTAACGATAAATTCGTACCTATGTATCAAGAAATTAAACTACGTAATATTTGCATGATATCAGTAATGAGTTTGACAAAGAGATAAAATAAAGAGAATAAAATTCGCTTGACATAGACATTTTTCTTTTTATTTTTCATTATCGTAAATGATAATATAACGATTACGCGTATGAACGAACAAATCAACAAAAAAAAAAAAAAAAAAGAAATGATATTAGAAATTTTTAATTTAAGGAAAAAAATATTATAGAAAATGTTACCAATCGTTACATATCTCGTTATCGTCATTATATAATGTAATAGAATTAGAAAGTAAAACAGAATGATATTTGTCTTTCGATTAGGATCATTTAGAACAATAATAATTCATAACAGAAACATTCCATTGATCTTATAACATTTTTAATATTTAAAATGATAATATTTTATGATTAATAAAATTATAAAGTAAAATATTTATTTCGATTAATCTCATTTGTATGAAATAAATCGAATATCCTTTGAAGATCTCAATGATTTCTTATTTTTTTTTTTTTTTTTTCTTTCATTCATCGAAAGAAAAATATTTACAATATTTATCGAGTACGATTATTATCGTTAAAGAGAAATGAATTTCATGAGAGAATCTTTTATTATTATTATTATTATTATTATTATTATTATTATTATTATTTAAAATAAAATTTATCTATTACCTGGCGAAAAGTTTTTCCTGAATTGAAAATTAATAAATTTCTCTTCCTTTAATTTTTTTAGATAACTTAGATGAATAGATAGATAGAGAAAGAGAGAGAGAGAGAGAGATAGAAAATAAAAAGAATAAAGAGAGTTATAATCACAAATGATTGGATTAATAGTCTTCGATTTACCGGTCACGCATGAAAGTAAGTGCCAAGGTGAAAGATGCATGTATGCATAATGACAGTGAAAGGATTAGATTCATTCGTGTATTAAAGTTGGTACCACTGAACATTCAGCGAAACTAACTCTATTACATGCGTTCAATAAAAGATTTATATATGTGTGTGCACGTGTGTGTGTGTGTGTGTGTATTAATATGTATGTACGTATATACATATGTATATATAAAGAGAAAAAAAGATGAGGAAGAAGAAGAAGAAGGAAAAAGGAAAAAGGAAGAAGAAGAAGAAGGAAAAAGGAAAAAGGAAGAAGAAGAAGAAGAAAAGGAAGGATGTAATGATAACATAAGGAAACTTGATGAGAGTACCTTAACGATTTGTATGAATCATCGAGCAATAAATTAAACTTGGCGAAAATATATCCTAGTCGATTGAAGCATGAGTTTAGATTAATCGTACAATCTATTGTCATCTTTCTTCTTATTATTATTATTTTTTTTTCCTTTCTTCCAATTTTTTTCTTCGTTATTCGTTATCGTTGTCGTTGATAATGACGGCAGAATTATTTATTGTCATGATCGTTGCAACAATTCAATATGATAATAATCTTGAAGATGTTCAGGTTGATACAACGTTGGTATTGGTATTGCCACAATTTTCTACTGTTAATATCTTTGGCTTGTTCGCTATCAGTGTATTTGTCTCATCTGGACAGACCGTGATTCTAATGAAAAAAAGATAATTATTACGATGATATATATATAGTACTTAATTAGAAATTAATTACTATTTTTGTATGTATTTATATATATATATATATATATATATATATATATATATATATATATATATATATATAATCTTATATAAAATAATTGAGTAAATAGAATATATTATGATAGTTTGTTTTTCTTTTTCTCTTTTACTTTTTTCTTCAACGTTTAATTTAATAATATATCCTTATTAAAAATTATTATTGAAAAGGAAAAAAATTAGAATTGAAAATAAACTTTAATATAAATCAATATGAAATATTATTGTTTAGTAATAATAGAAATGATGATATTTCGTTTGGATAGATTTAAAAAATTGTATGAACAAAGTAAAATATCTATAGGATCTATAGGATCGTTAGAATTGATTATTACAAAAAAGAAAAAAAGAAAAATTATCAAGTAGTACATACCCATGATTAAATTCAAGATTATCGACCGTCAATGAATCGATATAAGCACGTGGTGTATGAAGAAATCTCCATGTTAAAGGATTGAACATAGAAGTCTGATATTCCCAAGTGATTTCAACAGATTCTGGTTTACCTATTACATCGCCAGGTAATACAATTTTGTGTACACTACCAGGCTCATAATATTTCGAATTAGGACTGAGTTTCATCTTCTCTGTTTGTTTTCCATTAGCACTGATAACTCTAATGAAAAACATGCCCACTTCCCCGCCATAACTTAAACTCTCGTTCGTTTTCGAAATATTTATTGTTACGCGATAATGCGCCTCTGAAAAATATTGAGAAAATATCCATTACTCACAAGGACAGATCCGTGATAGTTCATTAATTAATTAACAGGCACATTTCGTGCAATTAAGAAACATTTCCTAAGAATGATTATCGGGTATTATTATTTTTTTTTTTTCTTTTTTTTTTACATTTTAAACTTTTTTACATTATTTCGTAAGATCGTAAATCAAGTTGAAATCGAAAAATTAGCCTGAAAAATTTCGAAAGGCTATAATCGATATAAAAAAAAAAAAGAAATATAAGAAAAAAAAGGGACAAAATCACTTAAGAACTTTTGCCACACCCTATATCATAGAAAGAGAAAAAGAGAAAAAGAGAGAATTTATTATATGGAGGATTTTAAAATATTCTGTTAAATATTTTAATCTCAGATAAGCGACATTTTAGAGAAAAATTATTGGCTTTTCTTTTTTTCTTTTTTTTTCTGTTCATTCGAAGATTTCAAAATAATTAGTAAGTTATACGTTTAATAGAAATTACTAACTACAAAATGGTTTGTCCGAGCCTGTCATTAAGAAAACAGAAGCATGATAATTCCCAGGTTGTGAGTCCAGACCAAATCTAGGACAATATTGATCGACGCAATCGAAGCAACTACCCTCTTGAAATTTATCCCAAGACGTACAGGGAACCGCTATGAATGGACAATTGGTGTTGATACTCTCGATGAAATATTCGTAACTTCGAATATGATTGCATCCTAAGAACCTCTTGATACCTTAGAAGAAATAAAAAAAAAAAAAAAAAAAAAAAAAAAAAAACATTAATAATTACTATCTATTATAATTTCTAAGAAAAAAGAAAAGAAGGAAAAAAGGAACACAAAAGAAGAGAAATAACAATAACGTATTAGATAAAGGAAATTAAATCGAAAAAATTTTTAATTAAATAAATTTAATTATTTTCTGTTCTCCAAAAAGAAGAATGCAAAAGGACATTGCAAAAAAATTTTTCAAAATTTGTTAAACATCTTGTACAAATAAAAGAAAGAGAGATCGCGCGTGCGAGAGAGATGAAAAATAAATAAATTAAAAATATATAAATAAAATATATATATATATAGAAGATATTGTACATTCAATATATTCTTTTTGTAACAACCTGAAATTTTCTTTACTCTCTCTCTCTTTTTTTTTTTCTTTTTTCCTTTAAGAAAAGTAAGAATATCACGATAAATATTAAAAAGAATATTATGTGACACCATGTATATGGATATTAATCAATTGAGAAATATGACTAACCACGAAAGAAACTACCACGTTCCAAGGTGATCGAATTGAGTACACCCTCGTTGCAACCAGGCTGATTGCGACCACCATTTGGATAGAAATCTATATGGCCAACAGGTTGAGTAATACCAAGGCCACCGCTGATAAATGGATTA